TCACGATTATGGTAAGGGGCGTTACATTTCCAACGAGTCCTTGCGGTGTTCGGCCAATCAAAATGCACTGGGTCAGCTGGCCAATCAGAGCAGACTGCGCTTGTCGGAAGGAGGGACTTTGTAGAAAACTAAGCGTTTGAGAGAGGCGGGGCATAGAGGACCTACAATAATGTACAGTATTTGAAAAATTATGTTTTTTGAACATTAAAGCATGTCAACATATTCTGTTACACCAAATACACAAAATAATGATCTTTAAAAAAGCATCATATGACCCCTTTAAATAATAATTTCCTATTTTAATATATTTTAAACTGTAATTTATTAATTTGATGTCACACTGACATCAAATTAATGAATTTTCAGCAATCATTACTCCAGGCTTTATTGTCATATGGCCCTTCAGAAATCGTTGTAATATGCTGATTTGGTGCTCAAGAAACATTTCTTCTTCTTATCAATGTTGAAAAGAGTTGTGTTGCCTAATATTTTAGTTGATACCGTGATACCTTTGTTTTTCAGAAATGTTATAAAACAGCATTTACTTAAAATATAAATCTTTTGTGGCATAAACGTCCTTATTGTTATTTTGATCAATTTAATGCATCTATGCTGGACATACAGTGCACTAGAATTCACATTTATCTCGGACTACTTTTTCAAGCAAATTCAGTGTTGGTTAACTTGTGTGCACCAAAGTTCAGAAAACCACTTTCACACCAACCAAACTCTGACGTCAAACACTCTGGCCTGCCCCAAAAGCTGTAGTGTGAAAGCAGTTAAAATGTAAACCCCTTCCATTCCAACCGCTGTTTTTAAACCACAATCCTCCAAAGGAACTTTCCATTTGCTAAGCTAATAAAGAGCAAGAAAAGTCAGACTGAGAGCAAAATGAGAGCATTTTAAATGGTGGAGCGTGCTGGGGGTTTTTTTTTTCCACAATCCTGTGTGTTCATATTAAAGGGGGGGTTCTCGGGTTTGCACCCTTGAGGCTCCTTACGGGTCTACAGAAACCGGGCCAGATCAGTGCTTTGGCAGCAGCACTTTCAGTACTCGCTCTGTATAGAGCGTGTCGGTCTGCCACTGCTTCCACCACTTCCGAGATCGACTCAGCTTGTGTTGTTTGTCAGTTCCCACTGGTATGCATGACTTTATCCCTGTGAAAGAACTGCTTCCAACTCTCAGGGGGAAAAAAACCCTGAACAGAGCTGCTTTGAAGCGAACGCACATACGTGTTGCAGATGTTTGTGGTGCCGACATAAACAAGCACAAGGCATGTGCCATCGGAGCATAGCGAGGCAGATCTTCTTTTTTCCCTCCCCTACTCTGCCTCTTTATTCTTTCCATCTGCTGGGAAAGAAGATAAAGAATAATGCCACTGTTCTTTGGAGTAACCGAAGACCGGGTAATAATAATGACAAGCTTAGCTGCAGGGAGAGAAGTCGGTTGGGCTGAGGTTGCATGGATGATGACAAAACAAGAGCACTCTGGGATTCCTCTACAGGCCTAGCGGCCCAGTGCCTGCTGAGACCATTAAGGATTATGCAATGCGGAACAGTTAGAGTCAATCAAAAAGAGCCCCCCAGGGAAGAGCGGTAGGATGCTAGATTTTCTCCCACGTGTCCACTTTAATTGCATGCTGGAGAAGAAAAAAAATGCTTCAATTACAGTACCGTCCAAAAATTGAGCATTTTTAAATGTTTATGCTCGGCTGCATTTATTTGATCAAAAATACAGTAAAAACAGTAATATTGTGAAATAGTGTTACCATTTAAAATACCCATTTTGTATTTTAATATATTTTAAAATATAATTTACTCCTCTAAATATGAGATTCCAAATTTATTCATTCAGCAAGGTGTTAAAAAAAAGATTTAAAAAAAAGAACCATCTAGAAATCTAATTTCCTCATGGTTTAAAGGTGCTGACAACCTCCTCGCTGATTTGTGGATGTGTTTTCATTAACACAAAGTCATCACTGGCAATCAAAACCTGAAAACTGCAGCATGCATCTGCTAAATGCTGTAACATGTTTCCCTATTACTATTTCAGAACCCAATATTCCACCCTAAACTTAATAAATTAATATTTACAGGACAACGTAAACGGGGACACCTTCTGGGCCCTAATCTCACGGACTCTACATTTTTCAGTAAGCAGGATTATTGTGGATGTGTGACCATCCGCATTGCTAATCAGAAATAGAAAAACAGCCTCAGGTGAGAGAATGGCAGAAGTGAGGGGTGAAAATGCGGTCAGCATGCTACTGTCTCTCGCTCGTGATCGCTTTTTGCATTAATTTAATCATGAAAGCATCTGGACAGAATGTAAAAAAATATATACATTCTCTAGATAATAAAGGTTCTTTATTGACATCTTGGTTCCATGAAGAACCTTTAAAATCCATGGAAACTTTCCATTCGATTTTCAAGTTCATTATAGGGGGAAAAGGTTCTTTAGATTTTTAAAATAGTTCTTTTAAGAACTGTTCACTGAGAGGTTTTTTTGGTGAATCAAAAATGGTTATTCCATTTATTTTTAAGAGTGCAGTGACAAAAAAACTATGAAAGAGGATAAAAATAGCGCTGGCAAACATTTAGCTAATTACCAAATGCAGATAAAAAAAAAGAATGTGTTCACATTTCTGGCAAAAAGACAGTGGTGTTTATGTGAAGTGCTTTGAAAAACTAGCCTTAATTAAGGACAATTTTTAATTAAAAACTATTTATGTGGCTCACGCATCATTTTATTTCTGCCTAGGGATGCACGATATATCGGCCACCATATCGGTATCGGCCCATATCGGCTCATTTTTTCTGTTATCGGTATCGGCCTGATAAGAAAATTTGGCCGATATCTTAAAGCCGATAAATAATGCATTATTTCCTTCAGAGACACTTCAGATGCGCGCTGTTCGTTTGCAGCCTTTTGTGCAATTGTACATTGTAATATTGTGTTTATTTGATGTATATCTGATTTATCTCATATAGAATGCGTTTGGTTAAGTTAAAAGAGCGCTTCAGTTTACCGGTGATCATCTTTAGCTCAGCGCACGCAGCTCAAACAGCAGTGCACAACATTAATAACCAGTGGTGTTTATGTGAAGTGCTTTGAAAAACTAGCCTTAATTAAGAACAATTTTTAATTAAAAACTATTTATGTGGCTCACGCATCATTTTATTTCTGCCCCCAATTTATTTCTAAACAAAAAAAAAAACGTTGTTGCATGAAAAATATTTCCTTGAGATCTGTCATAGGCAATGAGTGCAGTGACCTTGCATAGCATCTCCATTTCGAAAGCAATGTTCACACTTCCCACCAAAACATCATGCAAATTACACGGTCGAACATCTGGCTGCAAACAACACACCAAACTGTGACAGGTCCGTAGCATACAATTTCAGAGAAAGCAGAGGTCAAGAGAGGCACAAAAAGAGACTAAATAAAAACATTTTTAGGTCATATCCGCAGGCAAACCATTTATTTTTGTTTATAAGGGAAGAGGACAGTCGTGCTCACTGGCAAACACATGGATCATCCTGGAGGTTTCAAGCCAGATAAGTTTAATTGTTCTGTGTACATGATGCTGGTATAGAAAATCTATATGCTATGCTGGGTCTCATTGAAATTGATGCTGCCTTCACGCCTCTAGGCCAAAGTGAGTGAATGAGATCCTAATCATTGGGAGGAGACAGTACAAACCAGCATGCCAGTCAACCATGGAATTACAAAGCACAGGTGCCAATCCCTTGGCATTTCATCAAAAAAATACTAGCAACTGGCTTATTAGGCAGGCATGCAGAAATGCAAGCAAATCCCTGTGTAAGGTTAATGAATTACACTTGCAATGCTCCAGAACATACATTTTCCATCTCTGTCTTCAATTCCAAGGAGTAACAGTGCCTTTTAAGAGAAAGCCTATGCAAAACAATCAACCACTGCATGCGTTCACACTCCAGCAAACCGAGCAAAGTGTGGCCAAGAGAGAGTTAGTGTCTGACTTACAGCTCCTGCATGTTAAGCTGCTCTAAGAGGCACCTGGTCACTTTAAGCAGGGGGTTTATGGAGAAGTCGGCCACATTTTGACTTTAAACAGAAGTGTTATGGACAAAATGGGTTCTATTGGTCTGAAAGCATAGGTTTGTGGTCCAGTCTTGAAGTTCAGCTCACTAACAGTTGTCAAGAAGGCAATGCACATTTACAAATGCTGCTGGTTGTTCCCACTGCAGTCACTTACATTTATGTAGCCCAACTTCACCTAAAATATCAAACCGAAACCAGCAGTTGTTTCTGCATTCCTCACTTCATTTGTACCTGTCCAGAAATGTCTCCACAACCAAGTTAGTGGTTTTATGGCCGAATTTATAGTAGTTTTATAAGAGTCCGTGACTCTGATGAGGTTGAGACAACACTATATCGTTCTCTGCCATAAAATTCACAGTACAAGAGTGACATACTTTAAAAAACGATCAAGCTGCATTCCACATTTTCCAAAAATGTCAGTAACACAAACGCGAGTATTTCAGTCATCCATCTGCTTTGCACAACACATCTGTGCAGAAAACCCTAGACAATGTGTATATTTGTGCAGTACTCCTAACGTTTATTAATGCCTTGCGCTTAATGTTTTCTTCAATATATTCTAGTTATAAATATTTAAAAATAAACAAACACAAACACAAACACACACACACACACACACACACACACACACACACACACACACACCATTTTGTGTGTATTAATACTTAGTGTATGTAAAACAACAATGCCAAGCTGAATTGAAAAACACTGCTGTGATTAACGATTAACTGATACTTGATATATATGACGCGATACATATCTAAAGTATTAATTATCATTGACACATGGTAAAGTATGAATCAGTCCAGTAAGTAAACAGTGTTTGACTGGTTACTTTATAACGTGGCCGGATGGCTGCTTGAGTTTAGAATCACTACCCCCCAGCAAACCGCTTATTGTTCTCGGTTGAAACTCACCCTTTCCCCGGAAAGAAAGGCTGTCAAGCCGAGGGCTAATATCATCCAAACGTTCCTCATAATTCCTTAGTCTTCGCTTGTAAAAACGGAAAATACCGTCCCCGTGTCTGTTTCCACTTTTGGAGAAACTCTTCCCTCTCTCTCGCTCGCGCTCCAATCTCGCTCTCTCACAGGACTCAAATCCCACCGGCTTCGTGTTGCTTTTTTGTCTGCTTATTCCTCCGCACACTTTTTCACACTAAAATAGGTCGTTTTCGGTGTGTTTCGCCAAGTCTTTTCACAGCTGTACTCGTCTCGCAAAGGTGAATTTAACGTGAGGTCTCTCGGCCATATGTCTGAAGTGGTGCTCTACTGTCGAGCCACCCGCAGGACTGAGAGGAAAATACGGGTCAAACAGAAGGAGAGCTTGAGCAATGATTGACAGATAGCCCGACCATATGCGCTTGGCCGGAGAGAGCGAGCGCGCGAAAGAGAGGAGACGACAACTTTTGTTTTAAGTCATGTCAGATTTAAGTACTAAACCATAATGCTTGTATGACATGCTATTTTTCTAAATACTATGCTAAATAGAAAGTTATGTATTAGTACATTTCCAATTACTTAAAATTCATTCAATTATGTAAAGCATTTTGAGCTACCGTGGTGTATGAAATGTAGGCTACTGTATGAGTATTATGATGTATTTGATTTAGAATGAGACGGGTTTTTTTTTCAGTGAACAGGTTAAACCAGTTTTCCACCTATTTAAACGGAATGAATTGTTCCGAGCTGTTCTCGGAGCTGAGTCGACAACTCACTGACTCACTGAACCGTGAAACTGTGCCAAATTCTTTTTAAGTGTATTTTTAGGGGTGTACGTTCAACAATTGTATATTAGTGGCACTATTAAGAGTACCTGCTAGAACTCACTAAATGAATTGTCAATGCAATGTCTCCCCCTAATGGACAAATGCGTTGCACGTAGTTGTAAACAATATCATGGCGAATAATCCTGTTTTTCATTTCGTAACCTTCACTGAGTGGTCATGATTTTCATTTACTGACGACAACTACGAAACAAAATTAAGCCTGCTAACAATACCATGCATTTGAAAGGAATTATGAAGCAGTAAATTGCTTTGGAATAATTGTACTCTTGCTTCCTGATTTTGAGAACTGCCAAAGGTAACCAATTAACCTCCCTGCACACAAACACATGCACGCCTCCCTCGTCTTGCTTTACAGTCCCAGATTATTATCAGTGGCATCCTAGATTACCCCGCCAGTTAAGGTGATTGTAAAGCCTCTTCTGCCAGAACCCATGGGGCCTTCTTTGTGCCCTTAATAAACTCTTACACATATATCAACAGCTATCCAATGCTTATAATGATACTATACAATTATTAAACCATTTGTCTAATAGTTGATACAAAAGTAATGTAATGCATTTTATTTACCCAAATTTGCATACTTGGCTTTCTTAGTTTAATATATCTGATGATTATTTTTTTCAATTATTCATTTCCATGAGGACTGAACTGAATAACAACATCGAAAGTGCCACCTAGTGACAGGTATTGTTATTTTTCAATATTAAATATGATTCTAGTCAATAACCATCATGCAAAACACAGTGGACAATAACCAGGGCAACAAATAATAGTTGAAAGAAATGTGCATGTTGTAAAACACACAAACACTGAAAGGTAGTTTCGTTGTCATCTTCCTCGTCCTCAATCTCCTCTTCACTCTGGCCTCCCTGAGGCTTCAGTGTCATTGAGCTGAATTGACTCAAAGGCTTTCCAAGAATTCCAAAACTAAAGGCAAAAGAAAGTACAATCAGGCAACAGAGGCTATTAGAAACAATAGTGAAATAGACACATACTATGGTTTTTAGTAATTGCAAATAATATAACCAAAACATGATTAAGTATTAACTAAGTGACTTTAGCTCTTCTGTAAGCCACTCCATCAGAGCCTCTGAATCAAAGTGTTAAGTTGAGGACACTTTAAGACGTCTGAAGCTCCCAAACAGGTGACAGGCCTCTTCTGGTGGAGTAGGCAGCAGAGAGGCCATCAGAGGGGAATGCTGGGTTATGATTTTGTTCATGGCCGGGCGCCGGTTTGACTTCCTGGGTTAAAGGTCAGGAGACCGAGAGGGAGAGTATGAAAGAGAAGACGGGCTTGAAAGTTAAATCTTCACTTGAAGTTGCTTGCACACAGACGTTTATCATGTTACTAGCAACACATCACAAAGAAGTAAGACTTCTAAAACCTCTACATTAATATATGCGTAAAATAACAGAGCATTTTTTTATTTAATTTAGTATAAATGTGTCTCAAAACATTTATATATGTGTGACACAGAGGTAGAGACACTGAGGAAGACAAAAACACACACTAATGTCATCATGGGAACCATATATGAAACTCTTGGAACAGCAGGTGGTGGCGACTAATATTCAAATACATAATGTTCAAAGACCTCTAAATGTTTGGGTACATAATTTAAGTTTTACATATTTCATGAATCACATATGGTATTAGTCAAATGGTTTGCACAAACCACATATAGTTCTGTCACGGTGAGTAGATGACGCCTTGATCCTGCAGACATAAATCAGGCTTATTATTTCCTGAAACATGCTCTCATCCATCACATTGTTCATTAAAGCAGCAGAAACACACATAATTGTTCTCGCAGGTATGGTATCAATAGCTGTTCTGACCTGTCAAAAGCCATATGGTGCTGTTGAGGCAGATCTATCCCCAGCAACAGCCTGAAGTGACAGAGGGCAAGCTGCTTTTGTGCCAGCTTCACATTAGCACACATTTCTCCAGTCATCTGCCTCTCATGTCCTCTCTGAAAGAGCGGGAAGGGTAAGAATGACATGCTGTTAATGCAATCGTCACAGATTAATTCGATTAAAAGCTGTGTTAGGTTGTTGAATAGGTTACATACAAATCTTAATTGTGCCATTTTAGTAATTAAGCACTGCTACTTTAATAATTTCATGCATTTTCATATGACTTAATTCATGCCCGGCTCAAACTCACCCCATGAGAGATTTTGGTCTTTCCTCCAGAGCTTTTTTCTCAAAGTAGCAAGAAAAGTAGAGCAGGAGATTGGCAAGAAACCGATCCAGCTCTTTGCTGCTGTGAATAATTTGGCAAAAAAATATTTAGAATCATAGAGCTGCACTAATGTAACTGCAACTAAAAAATTGCTTTAAATTAACTTTTAATATAACTTAAGTAAATATATTAGACAATAAATAGGAAGAAATCAGTAAATACAAGTAAAAATGAACAGTAAATAGTATGAAAATATAAAAGTCATCCTCAAATAGTATTAAAAAATTAAATACATAGTAAAATAAAATAGAATAAAAATTTAAAAACTTACTTTAGCAGAGATATAAAACGTAGAGGAATGGGAAGCATGCAGTTCTCCTGTAGCAAACATACTGCTGTCGCTGCAACACATTAAATGTATATTAATCATCCTGGTTATGGGAAAAAGTCAATTTTTCATGGCTCATATTGATTTCATTATGTACCAAAGTATACAGACCTACATTTAACATCCTGAATTGTTACACATTCCTTTTGTTAGCATTTTATTGAGGTCTTGAAGGCATCCAATTGAGTGGGTCTCACAGTATTTCTTTGAAAAATGAAACTGAGTAAATCAATTGCTCAGAATAATACATCAAAGTCCTGCATAATGACCACCATGCCAGGAGAGAGAAGTTATTAAGCCATAATTATTTCCTGATGTCAGCCAACCATATGAGCTAACGTTAGAAAACAGAGTGCTTTTGCCACTTCTCCAGTTGCTTCCTGAACTGCTCTTGGTAGATGTTCTTGTTTATTAATTCTCTTTCACTTCTTTCTTGGCATTGAAACTGTAAACAAACAAAACCTAATTTGCTGATTTCAGAAAAAAAAGGTTAAAATTAATAAATATATAAACACACACACACTTGTCTGATTTACTATCCTTGTGGGGACTCTCTATAGGCGTAATAGTTTTTATACGGTACAAACCGTATCTATATTCTGTAGCCCTACACCTAAACCTACCCCTCACAGAAAACCTTCTGCATTTTTACATTCTCAAAAATACTCATTCTGTATGATTTATAAGCTTGTTTCCCCATGGGGAACTCAATTTAAATCCCCACGGTGACACGAGTCCCCATGAGTCAGCGTGCATTCAGGTTTAAGTCCCCACCGGGATAGAAAAACACATACAAACACACACACACACACACACACTCAAAACCAAACCAAACCAAATAGTGACAGACTTTAAAAAAAAAAACATCACACTTAAACATCAGTTAACAGGACATGGCACCAATGTCAGTTTTTTTTACCTTATGAACTCCAAGCTGTTTGTTTTGTCATTTCAGTCCAAACATTCAGAGGAAGGCATCATTACCTGTCATGCAATTATTAGGGGGAAATCTGTAAGACCTTATTTTTCTCTCTTGACCATATTAATGGCTATTTACAATAATAATAATAATAAAATAATAAGTTAATATAAATTATATTCAGATTTATCTATTTGACCGGTATACACTTGCAACAATTATATCTGCATTTTTTTAATAATAAAAATACTAAAAAGTAAAATAATAAGCCTAATTATGCATAGTGACGATCCATTTCCAAATGCACAACAATAAAATAACTTCTGAAATTTAGAAATTTCTTAAATAAAGTTTTATTCATCATATGTTTTAAAGCCGGTTAGGAACAGTTTGATCCACAAACATCATAACTATAATAATTTTTTAATAATATAATTTTTTAGCAATAAAATAAATGTTATGTTTAATGTTTAAATGTCTAATGTTTTCACATAATCAAACCACTGCAGACGGCTGCTTGTTCAGTCACTGTCGGTCTGTTCAGATTCATAGTACTGCAGTGGTTTTCTAGAACAGTCTCGAACACATGAGCATGTTTTCCTGCCGTTTCAGTCAGTGGTTTTGCCAAAGCTCACTCAAAATATATTCACTGTACTAGTGCTGTAAACTCCGGAACTGGGAGCGTCCACGGCACGCTAGCGACATCCAGTAACCAAAGGATGCTCCCGATATGCGCCAGTACTAGCGTTGTATGAGAAGCCACGCCCACTACGTACAAATTCTTCCTGTTATGAAATCGATGCTTGTGAGCAAAGACTATGATGTGAGATGCTGCTATTCGGGTGGTCACTGAATTGGAAAAGTGAGGTAACAGATCTGAAATCTTATCAAACATTTACAGTGACTGCTGCAGATTCGTATTACATGTAGATGCACCTATTTTAGCTGAACATGCCCAGAGCTTTTTTTAAAGACCGGTGAATTGTATTGTGCACTGCCTTAAAAGTGAAAGAAAGTTATTTGTTTGTTTAACATTTATGTTTTTATTG